TCCCTACACCATCGTCTCATCCACGCATTGAGACTCTGAAGCTCTGCCTGCCTACCTGGCCCTGCGCGTGGAACTGGAAGCATTTCTGAGAATGCCACCATAGAGGTCCTGGATTTCAGTCCCTTTCCTAGCAACCTAAATTTGGCCTCCAGGACTTCTCTCCTACCCTTCCCTACGTCATTGGTACCTACATGTACCACGACCACCGGCTCCTCCCCAGCACTACACATAAGTCTGTCTAGATGCCTCGAGAGATCCGCAACCTTCACACCAGGCAGGCAAGTGACCATACGGTTCTCCCGGTCATCACAAACCCAACTATCTATGTTTCTAACGATCGAATCACCCACTACTAACACCTGCCTCTTCCTAACTGGCATTCCCTCCCCCTCAGAGGTATCCTCAGTGCGAGAGGATACCGCAACATCCTCTGGGAGGAGGGTCCCAACTACGGGATGGTTTCCCTCTGCTCCCATTGAATGCTCTTTTCCCTTGAGACTTTCATCCTCCTTAAGAGCACTGGGGCTCTCAGACTGGAGGTGGGACAGTACTACAGTGTCCCGGAAAGTCTCAGGCTGGCCCCGGCTTTGCTCACCAAGGACTGAGCAGAAATAAGGGACGTTCAGATGAGTAACAAAGTCATTAGGAGTCCGGGAACCTTCCCCCCCCCCCGTGAGCAGAGTCTAAAGAGGGGGCAGGTTAGTTCAGGGCACAAGCCAACCAAGCTCTAACTACCCAGAGCTAGGAAGAACATTTTCTCCACGTCATAGTAGTCGTGCTTGTTCACTAGGGGGTTTCTTGCCCCTTCCTCTGGAGCAGCTGGTACCAGCCCCGTTCAGAGAGAGAGGAGGGGGCTAGATGGGCGTGTTGGGATGGGCTGTCCCGGCCTTTCCTGTGTCCCCACTCGAGTGGATCGAAATGTGTCGGAGCCGTTACCCCGCAAGGCGCGTGACCAAAGCCCAATCTTGTGTCTGACAGAGACAGCGCCCCGGAGAATCACGCCTGGCCGCAGCCAACGGCTACGTTCGTGACCAGCAAGGCAGAGAGTGGAAGGGAGTGCTCTGTCGTAACAGCAGATGGCTCTTCCTGGAAGCCGACCCCCCTCCCTGAAGGAAAGCGACAACGTGCGGAAGCGGCAAAGCAGAGAGCGATGGAGACCCTGAGAGACGCCCTGAAGAAGAAGGACCGAGTGCTCATGGAGGTGCCCCAGTATCTGGTTTTTGGGGAGAGTGGAGAGCCCAGATTCTGGATGGAGCGCCACGCGATCCTGACAGAAAAGTTGGTTCGAGGTCTCATCTCAGAGCTGGGCGCTGTGACGTTTAAGGAGGATCTGAGAAAGGAAATCGGGGGTAAAAGCAGAGAACACACCTACGCTTACGTTTACCCCACGGCTGGGGACAGGACAGTCTATCTGTGCCCGCTGTTCTGGAAGGCTCCTGCACACCTTGGGGAAGACTCCCAGCCGGGGACGCTGATCCATGAAGTGTCTCACTTCCTGGGCGTCCGTGATCTCACCTATTCCAAGGCCGGCATCACTGTAGCCTGCAGAGGGAAGCTGGTAAAAAGTGCCTCAGACCCGGATTCCCTCGGGAAAGCGCTACGAAATGCAAACAACATCGAGTATGAATTTGAAATTACCCTAAATCACAAGGGGGGGTACGAGAACGGACGATACCTCTGCTGCGGGGAGACAGCCGAGAACTCCGTCTGCGAGAGAGCGGTGCCCGATGAGTTTCTTGACTGCAGTTTGGAAGCAAGGTAAGCCGCTCTCCTCTCCCTGGGCAATGCATGCACATGGGGTCCCTTGCTCTTCACAGGAGTGCAGTGGTGCCTCAGGACCCCAGACAGGGACTGGGCCCGTCTCTGTCAGGGCTGCCCTCGGGATGGAAAGCCCCACCTCAGCCCCAGTTCTTGCACTGCAGGGGTGTGAGAAGGTACTCGGTTCTGGAGATGGTTTGTTCAACATCTTTATTAGTGACCTGGATGAGGGGGTGGATTGCACCCTCAGCAAGTTCACAGATGACACTAAGCTAGGGGGAGAGGTAGATACCCTTAAGGGCAGAGATAGGGTCCAGAGTGACTTAGACAAATTGGAGGATTGGGCCACAAGAAATCTGATGAGGTTCAACAAGGACAAGTGCAGAGTCCTGCACTTGGGACGGAAGAATCCCAAGCATTGGTACAGGCTGGGGACCAACCAGTTAAGTAGTAGTTCTGCAGAAAAGGACCTGGGGTTACAGTGGATGAGAAGCTGGAGATGAGTCAACAGTGTGCCCTTGTAGCCAAGAAGGCTAATGGCATATTAGGTTGCATTAAGAGGAGCATGGCCAGCAGATCCAGAGATGTCATTATTCCCCTTTATTCGGCTCTGGTGAGGCCACATCTGGAGTGTTGTGTCCAGTTCTGGGCCCCCCACTACAAAAAGGATGTGGATTTATTGGAGCGGGTCCAGCGGAGGGCGACCAAAATGATGAGGGGGCTGGAGCATATGACTTACGAGGAGAGGCTGAGGGACTTGGGTCTGTTTAGTCTGCAGAAGCGAAGAGTGAGGGGGGATTTGATAACAGCCTTCAACTTCCTGAGGGGAGGTTCCAAAGAGGATGGAGAGAGGCTGTTCTCAGTAGTGGCAGATGGCAGAACAAGGAGCAATGGGCTCAAGTTGTGGTGGGAGAGGTCCAGGTTGGATATTAGGAAAAACTATCCCTAGGAGGGTGGTGAAGCACTGGAATGGGTTCCCTAGGGAAGTAGTGGAGTCTCCATCCCTAGAGGTGTTTAAGTCTCGGCTTGACAAAGCCCTGGCCGGGTTGATTTAGTTGGGATTGGTCCTGCCTAGCGCAGGGGGCTGGACTTGACCTTCTGAGGTCTCTTCCAGTTCTATGGTTCTATGCAGTCGAGTCCCCTGCCCTACAGCAGAACCCAGCACTGTCTAGACCATCCCTGACAGGTGTGTGTCCAACCTGCTCTTCAATACCTCCAGAGATGGGGATTCCACAACCTCCCTAGACAAATTATTCCAGTGTTTAACCACCCTGACACGCAGGAAGCTTTTCCTAATGTCCAACCTAAACCTCCCTTGCTGCGGTTTGAGCCCATTGCTTCTTGTCCTGTCCTCAGAGATTAAAGGCGAATAAGCTACTGGATACTGGTTCAAAAAAGAGCTAGATACGTGAGGACAGGTCTACCAATGGCTGCTAGTCAGGCTGGGCAGGGAGAGTGCCCCTAACCTGCTTGTCAGAGGCTGCGAATGGGCGACAGGGGAGGGATCACTGGATTCCCTGTTGCGTTCACTCCCTCTGGGGCACCTGGCATTGGCCACTGTCAGCCGACAGGACACTGGGCTGGATGGACCTTTGGTCTGACCCAGTCTGGCTGTTCTTATGGTCCCATTGGGCACAGAGTACTCCTCACCTGCAGCAGATGTGCCATTGACCTGATCTAATGTGGCAATTCTGTGGTCACATGTTAAATCTGGTGAGTCTATCTAAAGAACGCATTGAGATTCCCCATCCCCAAGGACCAAACTCCTCCCTGGTGTAAATGAGTGTGGCTGCCATGGATGTCAATAGGAGCACGTCCACACTGCACAAGGTGCAGAGGAGACGATTTACACCTGCAGACTCATTATTTTCTCTCTCTTTCTCCTGCCAGTTTGTCAGGGAAGAAGGAAATCAACCAAACACTGATGGAATTGTTGTCAGTGGCAAGAGACAGATTGCAAGAGCACTTGGCTAAGCTTCGGAAACTTGCAGAGGACATCGACAATGTGCACCGAGGAGCGACAATAGCCAACATTACCGGAGGGGCAGTGGGGATTGCCGGGGGGATAACGACCATTGCAGGCCTTTGTCTCACTCCGTTTACATTTGGAGCATCTCTGGGTCTCTCGCTTGCAGGGCTTGCTGCTGCTACAGCAGGGGGACTGACCAGTGCGGCTGCAACCACCACAGACATGATAACAAGTGCATCAAAGAAGGAGACAGTAGCGAAGCTCTTAGAAAACTGTCAGACCGAGGTGGGAAATATCAGTAAGTGCGCAGAGATCTTCCAGAAACACGTACAGCGCTTGGAATCCTGCGGAGACAACGCTTTTATTGCAGTCGCTCAGATAGGGGCAGGAGCAGGAAGAGTGGTTCTTAATGCCACGAAAATGGTGAAAGCTGGTCAGCTCCTGGCTAATGCTGGGAGAGTTGCAAGGTTTGCAGGAACTGCTACCCGAATTCTAACTGGGGTCACCCTGGGACTGGATATTTTCTTTGTTGCAAAGGATTCTGTGGAACTCCACCAAGGAGCAGAAACGGAGCTGGCAAGAAACATCCGAGAAGCTGTCAACGAAATGGAAAAGATGATCGACCAAGTCAATGAACTATATAAGCTTCCAATTGCAAAGTGACCATTGTGGAAAACTCAGTGGCTCAGTCCTCCAAGATGAGAAACACCCCTTCCCACTGCCTCCCACAGGGACTGAGCATTTCATGTGACCAGGCTAGAAACGCCACGCTCCTATAGAATAGCCCCACTCTTGATTCACACACTTCATGTTTATTACATTTTATACATATTAAAACCTGTCCTAAAAGGAGTAATCATTAACTATCTCAGTAGCAGCAGTAGTTAAGGACTTTCCTGCACCTACACTGGTAACCAATGTGGGTAGCGCATGCTATCCGTTCCTACTTGCTTCTTAACCTCAGTCTGTCCCCCAGCACTGTGTTTTCTTGTGTTTTCGTTGCTTTTTAGCCAGTTGTGAATTTTCATTTTTGGTCTCAGCCCAGGAGCATTTTGGGAAATGAGAGACGTTTGGTTCAGATGTTTGAGTTCATGTGTCTTAAAGAAACCAGAAATGGCCCATATGCTGCTCCTCTAAAAACAGGGGAATCCTTTCTGTTCTCACTTACCTTACTTTGTAAATTGCATTGAGATTCACCAAGCAGGTTTGAAGAAAGTGAGTGACACATTCTTCCCATGATGAGCATTTAATATTGTTCATGGTGTTCCCTCCTTGAGAAGAAAACTGCCATGCAGTCGGCTCACAGAGCGGGTTTGAGACAGAATTTAAGCAGAACTCGTCTGTTTTGCCTGCCTATGGGTCGTAAGTCGTCCCTGTAAGTGGATGTTTGCCCAATAGGTCTCTGCAGTTACTCTGCTCTTGAGAAGTACCCTGAGCACCAGCAGGCTGTCGCCCTAGAGTCCAAGGCCGTTGCCCTGCAAGGATTCTGCATTTCAATAATGTAAACGGCTTCAGGAGGAAAGGTGTCACGTGGACAGAAAGTCTCACTGCTGCGCTAATCTGCCAGGAACTGTTGAACCAGGATGGCCACTCGAGGCTTGATCCAGCACCAAGCGCTCTGATCCAGGGACATCAATGGAACAACATGCAGGTTAAAAGTGAAAAATAGATTATAGATACTTTGTTGGGTCAGATCCAAGTGTTGAGCACTTTGCCACACTGGGCCCTTACTGAGAAGCCCCTCAGGAAAACCCAATAGCACATCCTCCAACTACAGGACATTAATTTACCTTGTTGCCAAGTCCCGAGATGGACTTTACAAGGAACACAATAGGGAGAAATTCCATGATCTGACCTTTTCAGAGACCTGTTTCCAAATACTTGATTTGAACCACATGGTTTGGTTTTTAGGCCTCAATAAGCTTTACAAATCATAGAATCACAGAGCACTAGGACTGGAAGGGACCTCAAGAGGTCACTGTGCCCAGCCCCCTGCCCTCACGGCAGGACCCAGCATCATCTAGCTCGTCCCTGACAGACGCCTGTCCAACCTGCTCTTAAATATCTCCAGAGACGGGGATTCCACAACCCCCTGGGAAATTTATTCCAGTGTTTCACCGCCCTGAGAGGCAGGAACTTTTTCCTAAACCTCCCTTGCTGCAATTTAAGCCCATTGCTTCTTGTCTTATCAGAGGCCAATGAGAACAATTCCCCTCCTCCTTGTAACACTCTTGTAGATACTTGAAACCTGCTCTCATGTCCCCTCTGTCTTCTCTTTTCTAAACTAAACAAGCCCAGTTCTTTCAATCTTCCCTCCTAGCTCATGTTCTGTAGACCTTTCATCATTCTTGTCGCTCTTCTCTGGACCCTCTCCAATTTCTCCACATCTTTCTTGAAATGTGGTGCCCAGAACTGGACACAAGACCCCAACTGAGACCTAACCAGCGCAGAGTAGAGCAGAAGAATGACTTCTCGTGTCTTGCTCACAACACTCCTGCTAATGCAGCCCAGAATCATGTTTGATTTTTTTTTTCAGCAGTGTCACACTGTTGACTTGTACTTCGCTTTGTAGGAGGAAACAAGAGCCTGAAGCAGGGATCTGGGGCCTGAACCAAAGTCAGTAGGAGTTATACTCTGGGTAACAGCCAGACCATGTCGCAAGCAGATGTTTGCCTGCAAGTCCCTGTCTCTCAGCACCAAAGGTACATTCCCCAGGGCATACGCACGCCGCTGAGCACACGATAAAACCTCTGGAAACAACAGGAGTGAACGCGAAGCAACGGGCAGTGAACACAGTGGAGGACAGTGCACGGGGAGGCACCAAGCATGTGAGGAATGAGTGAGGAGGTGCATACGGCGTGTAACGGAGATTGTTTGTCTGTCTATAAACGCGGGGCACCTCACTTACCGTGCTGGCTGGCCTAGGGGGTGACAGTGTCTCCATACTTGACTGAGCCAGTTCACTGTCCCGGGTACAAACACAGAGGGGCGACTACGGACGACTAGTCATGTGCTTTGCTTAACAATGAACCTGACCCACGTGCCTCCATAGCTTATGTCTGTGGTCTTTGGGGGCTCTCGCGAGGTCTATTACACTAGCAACTTCCACAGAGCTGGCAAAATAGACTGAGGGAGCATACAAAAATGCACGCACCCCAATGTTCATTATCACTAACGAAGCAGGAAATGTCAGGACACCACACCAGTGAACCCTGATTTTACTGTAACACTGTCCTGAACTAACCCTAGATCCCTTTGTGTATGACTCCTTCCTAGACAGTCGCTTCCCATTCTGTATGTGGGAAACAGATTGTTCCTCCCTAAGTGGAGCACTTTGCATTTGTCTTTATTAAACTTCATCCTGTTTACCTCAGACCATTTCTCCAGTTTGTCCAGGTCATTTTGAATTACGACCCTATCCTCCAAAGCACTTGCAACCCCTCCCAGCCTGGTATCGTCTGCAAGCTTAATAAGCGTCCTCTCTATGCTAATATCTAAATCTCTGATGAAGAAATTGAACAGCACTGATCCCAAAACAGCTCCCTGCAGAACCCCACTTGTTCTGCCCTTTCAGCATGACTGTGAACCGTTAATAACTACTCTCTGGTTATCCAGCCAATTACGCACCCACCTTATAGTAGCCCCATCTAGGTTCTATTTCCCTGGTTTATTGATGCAAGATTCCTATACCATGGAAAGCACGAATATCTGCACTGACGATGTTCACTGGATTCCAGACATTTGCCCGTTTGTGCGGATAAGAGGTTACTCACTTTGTGCAGTAGCAGAGTTGCTTTGAGACGGCTGCCCCTGCGGACTCTCCCGATTTCACTCACCGACGCCTTCTCGCTCGCTTCCGCCAGTGCCCAATGTAACAACATGCACACAGAAACCCCCTCCTCCCCCGCCATGCAGCGTGTCCCATTCCAGCCACCAAGCAGGCCCTGCCCCGCCCCCCTGTGCACCATGGAGCAGGGGCCATTTCCGGCCCCCGCCACCCCCGGGCCACCGGAGCAGGCCTCTCCCTCCCCGCCCCCGGCCCAGGGGCTCCCACACCACGCTATCTTAGCCAGCCCCAATAAAGAAAAACCCTTAAACTATCAAGCGAAGTGTAGCACTGAGGAACTTAACAGGGACGTGCTCAAACGACAAGATGAACGAGGAGCGAGCGTGGTTCTGACCGACGCCGGCAGCAGGAGAGAAGGAACAGACGGTGGCCTGTGCAGCCCACCAGCAAGACTGCTACTGTAACTCTCCGACCAGGAGTGCAAATGGAGAACCCCCAGGGATACTCCCCGAAGAATTCAACCACGTCCTTTAGCTCTTGGCAAGATCAGACACATGGGACAGGGTGGGCACAGTTGGCTCCTCTACCAATAGACACAACAGCGCGGGGCAGCAGTGCTGGCAGGCCCACGGTGCACCTACCAAGAGCACTAACACCATGTGCCTGAGCACCCCGAGGAGGACCTCGTGCATTAGCGGGGAGGAGGGGAAACGCAGACAGGAGGCGGGGCAGCCAACGTGAGGTGAGCATCCTCCACCGACCCTGGGATTCAGGTACGAGCAGACAGTGCTGGCGCTGCCCACTGCTGTGTGCAGCAAACAAGTCTCAGTGGGAAACCCCCACCTCTCAGGCTACGTCCTCCCTGAGGGCCCACTCGTGTGCTCTGAAGGGCCTGCCGGGGACATGTGGATTGTGTGTGCAATAGAGTTCCCACAGGGCCAGGGCTTCCTGACACAGGAGATGGAGCTCCACCCCGTCTGTCGGTCTAGAGCCACGCTACCCTATTGTCTGTCAGGACTGAAACCTGCCTGCCTTCCAGGAGAGGCAAACACCCGACAGGCCAGATGAACTGCTCTGTTCCCTGGCGTTTCTATGCTGTGACTGCTCGGCACGCGACCACATACCTTGTGTGCTGTGCTCCGGCCTGTGTCCGAAGCATCCATCACCAATTGAACTGATGGGGTCTGCCTGGTGAATGGGGATGTCTGCACAGATCATGTCTTCCTGCAGCCACCAGCCCAGGGAGACCAGCACATCCAATGGTGGAAGAGCCGGGCTGTATGCCCGAGCGAGCCAGGCCTGCAAGGGGCGGAGGTATAGCCAGGAGCACTGCACCACATACACATGCCACCATACGGCCTAGCAGCCTCATGCAATTCCCGGCTGGTGTCAGAGGCTGCTCACAGGCCCAGAGCAGCGTCTCTTAAGGCTATGAGCCTGGCCCTTGAAGGGCTGTTGAGTCCAGCTGCACTCCCATGAACTCTGTGTCCTGTGTAGGGCCGAGGGTGGACTTCCCCTAGTTGAATAAAGGTGTCTGATCAGGTCTACATGCTGTAGCACATGGGCTCTCAAAGCAGCCCCGATTAGCCAGTTGTCTAAATAGGGGAAACTTGCACGCTGTGCCTCCCGAGGAAGGCTGCCCCCACCACCATACATTCGTAAAGGCCCTGGGGGCTGTAGACAGGCCGAACGGGAGGAAGGATGTTAAATGTTAATCAACTAATCGAGTAGTAGATGGAACTTCCAGTGACCACTCGATTAGTCGATAGGGGAGCGCTCACTGTTCCGCTGTGCCTCTCCCTTTGAAATGCACACGATCCACAGCAGCTCCCGCACATTTCAAACAGACAGGTGCAGCAGGAGGGATGTTCTGCCTCCTGTTCCCCATGAAGACAGTGCTGGAGGGAACTGGCTTTTAAGCCAGCTCCCCCACCCCAGCCCCTGCTCCCCCCCCACCTGCCGCCCCCGGGAAGTGACTAGTCAATGACTACTCAATTATCCAATAAGCTTATGCTCATCGAATAGTCAACTAATCGCTTACATCCCTAAATGGGAGGATCACAAACTGGTAATGGTCTCTTCTGACCGTGAATCAGAGGAACCGCCTGTGCGGTGGAACAACAGAAATATGCACCCTGGAAGTCAGAGCTAGTCAACATGTGGCCCAGGGCCCATGCGTTTGCGGCCCTCAGTGCGGTTTGGGTTTACGTGAGGCACAACACACGGCCCGCGGGTGGGAGCCAAAACAAAAAAGGAGTCAATAGAATGGTCTTCGGTTTCAATTCCTGGACTGCCATTGCTCATTCCAAGTGCTGTCCTATGGGTGGAAATCAGGTCAATGTTGCCTTTTATTAATATCAGCAGAACGGACTTACATGGGGCCTGCGTGTTGGGTCGTCTTGCCTTATTCTTTGTGTTCATGCCCGTCAGTGTGAAAGAGGCTATCTGCATAGATTTGCATGTACACGCAACCACACTTAAGGTGCAGCCCTCGGCACGTGCTGTGAGTATCACTGTGGCCTGAGCCGGAGTTGAGTAGCCCTGATCTAAGTCAAG